CGATTAAGAAGAGGTGGTGAAAAATAACATGAAGATAATGATGAATATTTTGAAATAAGTGAAAGATCATGATCTTAATAACAAAAATTATTGTGAAGACATTTATGAAGAATTAAGAAAAGATCTAATAAAAAAAATATCAAAAAATGATTAAATAGTCTGTTTGTTAAAATTTTTAGTTCAACTCACAACTGTGGATGAAACTTTTATTTAATGTGGGTCAAATGGACTTAATTTATTAGTAGGTCTGAAAGTTGATTTGACTAAACATTGCTTTGAAGGCATTAGGATCAAAAAAAGTAGTTTGATTGGTGGAAATTTTGCAAAATATAATTTTAGCGGATCTGAATTTGAAAATGTTGATATTAGTGGGGTTAATTTAAATGGAGCATTATTATTAAATTGTAAGTGGAAGAATATTAAAATACACGAACTAAATTAATTAAATGGTCATACTGTCTATTCAGTATGCTTTTCACCGGATGGAATTACTTTAGCTTCAGGTAGTCATGATTAATCAATCCGTTTATGGGATGTTAAGACAGGATAATAAAAAGCAAAATTTGATGGTCATACTAATATTGTCTACTCAATATACTTCTCAACAGATGGAAGTCAATCCGTTTATGGGATATTAAGAGTGGATAATTAAAAGCCAAATTGGATGGTCATAGCAACACAGTATTATCAGTATGCTTCTCACCAGATGGAACTACTTTAGCATCAGGTAGTTATGACGAATCAATCCGTTTATGGGATGTTAAGACAGGATAATAAAAAATCAAATTTGATGGTCATAGTAATTGTATCAATTCAGTAGGCTTCTCACCAGATGGAACTATTTTAGTATCCGGTAGTTCTGATTAGTCAATCCGTTTATGGGATGTTAAGACAGGATAATAAAAAACCAAATTTCATGGTCATTCTAATATTGTCTCATCGCTATCTTTCTCACCAGATGGAATTATTTTAGCTTCAGGTAGTAATGATAAGTCAATTCGTTTATGGGATGTTAAAACAGGATAATAAATAGCAAAATTATTAGATGTTCATACTCGTTATGTCATGACCCGGATTCCGGTATAGAGAGCGGATTCACCCGAGTTCCGGTATAGAGAGCGGATTCCTCTCTATATATGTCGGGCAGGTCCACCCCCGTTTTTGTGAGTCCTTTAAAATTGGGTTCTGAGCAAAATTTTAAAAATAAATTCTTAAGCAAGAAGATGCAATTCTTAAATCTCTTAACTTACATATTTTTTTTTATATTCATTATCCATAACTTACTTATTTATTTCAAAAAACATGTTTTTTTTTTCTAACATATTAATTCTTATTTTTAAAATTCTAATGTTATAGGTTTTTAATTTATTAGCATAATTCATAAAAGAAAA